TCAGCCAAAAGAAAAAAAAAAGAAGACCATAAAAAAAAATGTACTGTTACATGCAACAGCATGAATAAATCATAAACATATTATAGTAAAAGAAGACAGGCACATTAAGAGTACATATGGTATGATTCCATTTGTAAAAAGTTTAAGAATGGGCAAATTTATCTATGGGCTAGAAATCAGAACAGTGGTTTCCTCTGGGGGGTGAAGATTAACTGGAAGGGGTTATCAGGAACTTTCTGGGTGATAAAATTGTTGTGTATTTTGGCAGAGTAGTGGTTATATGGACGTGTACGCATATCCAAACTCACTGAATTGTATATTTAATATCTGCATTTCACTGTATGTAAATTTTTATATATTGTATGTATAATATAAAATATATATTTATATTTGTTATGGGCATCCCAATATCTCAAAAATAAGTGCTACTTAAGGGGAAGCTCAAAAGTAAAATAAAATACATCTAACTGGGTTTGTTTTTCCCCTCCCCTTTCCTTGTCTATTGTAAATATGCAATATCTTAAAATAAATAATAAAGATGGAAAAAATTTTGTTGTCTTTCAAAATATTATATCCAATGAAAGCTTAAAGAGTCTTTGCTGAGATAGAAATTTGAAAAACATATTTATTTTTCTTATGTATTTTTTTCTGAATTTCTCTTTAATCCATCCAGAATTTAGTGGGGAGAATGGCTGATTCCAGTGGTAGAGAGGAAAGGGCTTTCTTTTCACCTCCAAGTTCTTTCCCCTTCCCTCCTTGCTTCTAGGTGCCTGCTTCTTCTGGCCAAAGAAAGAGGCAGTAGAAAAGTCTGAGGTGGCTATTCAGGGTGAGAGCTGAGTGTCGCCCTCTCCACAAAGGGCACTTGGCCTTTTCCTGCACATGACTGCCTTTGTCTAAATGGCCTCATTTTCTGATTAATACAGCTCGAAATTGGCCCATTTCCTTGAAATTAAAACAAAAGTACAGTCCCGGAAATGCTCAAAAGAAGATAAAGAGGAATAGTTACCTGAAAAAATAGGAAAATGCTCTAAATGGAATTTTATACCCATCCTGTGAAACGCATGGAGTGTTGTACATCTGATAAATATGGACCTTTGGGGAAAGGATGATTCTATGATTGGCTCTGGTCTTTGGGCATCAGCCCTGAGGAGCTGGGGGTAGTTGGAAGTACATGTGGTAAGAGGTGCCTGAGTCTGACCTACAGGGTCATATTTCAGTGCCAGGCTTAGTGGTATCTACACTCTGTTCTTAAACTAAAGAGCAGCTGGTCTCGGCACAAGTTGAAGAGAACTTTGGCCTCAGAGCCTTTTCCAAAGCCAGGTCTACGTGGCAACCACTGTCAGCAATGGCAACATCTGCAGATACAAGAAGCAGCCGGCAATTGTTGATCTTCCATAGATCTTCATAGCGTTTATTTGAGGGCGTTTAAAACCGTGAGACCAGAATTATCTGGGATTTGTGAACGCTGCAAAACGTGATGATAGGATAAAGCTGTGTGAAATCTTGTCTCCAGCTCACACCCCTAAGTGAACGTTACCCTCCCGAATCACTGCAGGAAGCACCGCATGGGCGCCTGGCTTAGAGCATGCTTTAGATTTCTTCTGTTCGAATTGCTCTAAGCATCAACATATGATCCACAAGGGGGAAATCAGCTTGGTTTTCTTAATTCACATCGGTTGGTTGTGAATAACTTGTGTCTGTTTCCAAAAATTCAGTCCACCCCCAGAAAGGACAAAGATTGGCCGACAGTGAAGGTATTAAAGGAAATGTCCGGTCCCCTCTTTTGAAATGTTTGCCATCAGAGTTCTCCACGGACATCAGGTGGTTGGTTGCCTTCCCCACAGAGATGACTCTGAAGGCATTGCTCTTGTTGGACACATCGGTCCTATTGGCTTGTCACCACCCTTCTTCTGATGCCATATTCCTTTAGGGTTGGACCTGAACAGCACTTACAGATTTCCCTTCTGCTCAAAGTGAAAAACAGATGTCAACCCTGCCGCTAATATTTCTGCATTTTTTTCTAGCTTTTTCTTCCTCTCCTGCTCCCACTTGATGGTTTGGAGGATGAGAGGTCATAAAAGATTTCTGAGGGGTGGAAGGAACAAACAGCTTTTCTCATATCTCCCTCCTCCGCAATTTTCCAACCTAAAAAATGACCACTTTCCTCACCAGATGACGTCAGCACAGTCACGGTGATTCACCTGGATCCCGGGTGAGGGCTGAGTTCCCTCTGTTTCACGCCTCCCTCCTTCTCTACTTTCCTCCAGGCCCCCAGTGATGTTCCCTGCAGAGCAAAGGCCCTAAAATGTTTATTCCCTCTGCTTCCTTTCCTCTGCCTACCACATGTTCTTCTTGTCTTTGCCTGATAAGCATCTATTCTGTATACTTTTATTTACCAAAATTAAAAATTTTTTTCTTGTTCATATAAGATAGACTTTAAAATATATTTTAGAAACACTGTAACATCTACTTATGACATTTTAAAATGTACAGTGTTCCAAGGTTCCTAAATTACAATCCCTTTCTAGCCCATCTCTCCTTCGGCTTTTTGTTTTTTACTTTATTTTTATTTTTAGTTGTGGTAAAATACACATAACATAAAACTTACCATCTTAACCATTTTATTGTTTTTTCTTTGTGGTACGCGGGCCTCTCACTGCTGAGGCCTCTCCCGTTGCGGAGCACAGGCTCCGGACGCGCAGGCTCAGCAGCCATGGCTCACGGGCCCAGCCGCTCCGCGGCATGTGGGATCTTCCCGAACCCGGGCACGAACCCGTGTCCCCTGCATTGGCAGGCGGACTCTCAAGCACTGCGCCGCCAGGGAAGCCCACCACCTTAATCATTTTTAAGTATACGGTTCAGTAGTGCTAAAGTACACTCGCATTGTCATGCAACCATCGCCACCATCCATCTCCAGAAATTTTTTTTTAAATTACTAAACTTTATTTTTTGGAGCAGTTTTAGGTTCACAGCAAAATTGAGCGGGAATTGCAGAGCTCCCATATACCCCTGTCTACACAACCTGCCCTACTCTCAACGTCCTGCACCAGAGTAGTACATTTGTTACAATCCCTGGACCTTCACTGACGCATCGTTATCACCCGAAGTTCTCCAGAACGTTTCCATCTTGTGGAACTGAAACTCCATACCCATTAAACAGCGACTGCCCATCCTCCACTTCCCCCAGCTCCTGGCAGCCACCGTCCTACTTCCTGTCGCTATGAATTTGACTACTGTAGGTGCCTCTTTTTTTAAAATTTAATTTAATTTAATTTTTTTAATACAGCAGGTTCTTATTAGTTACCAATTTTATACATATCTGTGTATACATGTCAATCCCAATCTCCCAATTCATCATACCCCCCCCCCCACCTTTCCCCCCGGGTGTCCATACGTTTGTTCTCTACATCTGTGTCTCTATTTTTGCCTTGCACACCGGTTCATCTGTACCATTTTTCTAGATTCCAAATATATACGTTAATATACGATATTTGTTTTCCCCTTCCTTACTTCACTCTGTATGACAGTCTCTAGGTCCATCCATGTCTCTACAAATGACCCAATTTTGTTCCTTTTTATGGCTGAGTCATATTCCATTGTATATATGTACCACATCTTCTTTATCCATTCGTCTGTCGATGGGCATTTAGGTTGCTTCCATGACCTGGCTATTGTAAGAGGTGCTGCAATGAACATTGGGGTGCCTGTGTCTTTTTGCATTATGGTTTTCTCTGGTCTAGGTGCCTCATGTTTAAGTGGGATCATACAATTTTTGTCCTTTGGTACCTCGCTTATTTCACTTAGCATGCATAATATCTTCAAGGTTCATCCATGTTGCATGTGTCAGAATTCATTCCTTTTTAAGACAGTGATATTCCATCGTATAGATGGACCACATTGTGTTTATCCACTCATTCATCGAAGGACACTTGAGTTGCTTCCACTTCTTGGCTATCATGAACAATGCTGCTATGAACATGGGTGGACAAATATCTCTTCGAGACACTTCATTTCAATTCATTTGGGTATATACCCAGAAGTGGAATTGCTAGATCATATGATAATGATAGTTCTATGTTTAATTTTTTGAGGAACTGCCGTGTTGTTTTCCACAATGTCTGCACCATTTTACATTCCCATTAACATTGCACAACAGTTCCATCCTCGGCAATACTTTTTATTTTCTCTCTTTCTTTTGGTCTTTCTGTCTTTCTTTCATAGTAGCTGTCCTAATGGGTGTGAGGTGTTGTGTGCCTTTACTTTTTAAACTTTTATTAAAAGCCTGGTGTCTTTCAGTCACAATCTGATTTCCTTCAAATCTGAAGTAGGCACTTTAGGATCTTCTGTGTATCTGCTTGGATATCAAATGTTCATCTGTACATTTCCTTTCTCAAAATGTGTACAACAGGAGTGCGTTGTCTTTCTGATTTAAGTGTAACTGAATTGATATCTTCAGATGGGAAGACAGCTTAGCCAGCAGAGGCACCTGCCCCCATGGAGAGTACCTGGAATGATTCAGCCAGGTTTCCTGGTTTGGACGGGTCCCCTTCCTCCTACACCATTCCCGGACACCTGTCCCAAAGCTCTGACTGATCTCCCTCCAAGAGAATAGCCTTCCCAGACGGATCTCTCTGTGCAGCAGTCTGAGGTCCTTGGATACATTTATAGATTATATGTTGTGTGTGTGAATTTAGTGGTAGTAGTCTCAATCTCACTGAGAAATAATGAAAAGAGTCTAAAATCCGGTCATCATGGAAGGCACTCATTATTAAAACCGTGTGCCTTATAGCAAAGCATTCTTTTTTTATATAGATTTACTTTATTTATTTATTTATTGGCTGCATTGGGTCTTTCGTTGCTGTGCACAGGCTTTCTCTAGTTGTGGCGAGCGGGGGCTACTCTTTGTTGCAGAGCTAGGGCTTCTCATTGCGGTGGCTTCTCTCTTTCCGGAGCACGGGCTCTAGGTGTGCAGGCTTCAGTAGTTGTGGCATGCGGGCTCAGTAGTTGTGGCTTGTGGGCTCTAGAGCGCAGGCTCAGTAGTTGTGGTGCACGGGCTTAGTTGCTCCGCGGCATGTGGGGTCTTCCCCGACCAGAGCTCGAGCCAGGGTCCCCTACATTGGCCAGGGTCCCCTACATTGGCAGGAAGATTCTTAACCACTGCGCCACCAGGGAAGCCCCTAGCAAAGCATTCTAAAATCACATGGAAGCTAGCAAACGCAGGGAGTACAGTTTTTCCCCTTTCTACCCTGAGTCAGGGATCTTAGGGAGGTGGTGTTTCCAGGGCCATGTCACCCCTTTGGTTACTGCTCGGCAGGGTGGCTCAGCCTCCAGCCCTGTTGGTCTGGCTGGGAAGCAGCTTCTCTCCACTAGAGGGCAGCAGCCTCCCTTATTCAGATCACTCTTTGGAAATCCAGGGAGGCCTCTTGCTCTTTTATGTTGGACTGGGCCTCCGGCCTCTATTTTTAGGCCCTCTATGTTGACCTTGAGTGTTCAGGCCTGGAGACCCCCCCTCCCCGGGTCAGGAAACGGCATATTCTCTTGGAGACCTTGGCCGAGACCCCCTCTGGGAGTCAAGTTCCTGCCGGAAAGCAGGCTGCGAGGGTGGGGTAAGACAGGTCACCTTTCACAGAGCATTCAAGGCCCCTGGGGGTTGGGGGCTGGGTGGGGGGAAAGCATGCCATTGTCTCGTCACATTTTAAGTTCTCAAAACTAAAGTAAAATGTTAAAATAAAAGAAAAATTGCAAAGTCCAAAAAACAAAACAAAACAAAACTGCCTTTATCTACTTTGCCTTCCTCTATGGTACTTCCTAAAAAGTTGAGAATTGTGTGGGAGGCACAGGAAGCCGTCCTCTCTGCTTCCTCACTTGATTGTGTGACCTCTTGGTAGCATTTAGACCATGGAAGCTTTAAGAGTCACCAGATAAAAGAGCAGACACCCAGGCCCCGCCCTCGGAGGTTCCAGCTCAGTAGGCCCAGGGTGTGGCCCAAGAGTCTGCCTTTTTGGCAAACACCTTATTTGATTCTCAGGCAGAGGATCCTCAAACCACACGTTGAGAAACTTTCCACTGTACTACATCCTCTGGTGCCATTCACTTAATCTGAGAGTCCTAAGGTAAGTTTTCTATTCCACGTGGGAACCATCCATGCAGGAATTCCATACATTTTAATATTTCAGTTACAGGCCACTTCTCTTGTATAACCCTGAGCCCCCTGGGAAGCCCCCATCTTAGGGTCTGAAGTGTAGTGTCTCCCAGCCTCCCTCCACCCCGCTGATGCTCCCTGATTCCCCTGGGCCAGGCAGCCTTCTAAATTGCTTTCATTTTTTTCACAGCTCTTGGGAGAAACCTTTCCTCCTGGGATGGAAGCCCCCAGATGAGGGTTTGGCTGTGCCTTTCCCTCCCTAACAGAGGGGCTTGTCTCAACACCAACTCCAAACAGGCACACACACACACACTGTGCAGCTCTAACAACTGCGACTGTTCTCTAAGTACAGCCCAGCAGCCAGACTGTAGCTCAGTTTTCGGCTTTTCATGGTGCCTTCTGCTCTGATGGTGCTTGGTAAAAGTTCATGTCCACAAGTCTGAGGATCAGTCATTACCCTACCTGTGTCTGGGAGCGCCAGGATTAGAACCACTGAACCAAAATCCACTTTGGAGAACGCGAGGCCCAAGCAACAAGTAATTGGGAGGGGGGGCTCCTGGCACCTCTTAGTCCGACACGAATGGTGTCTTTAAGACACAGCAGCACATACTGCCGCATCTTTGACACACACACACACACAATGCCTGCTTTCCCATCCCTGCTACTACGGGTTCCCCGCTTCCAGCACTTTCTTGCTTGATTCTCACACTAATTCCTACGCCTCTGGGTGGCAGCCCTTGGCTATCTGCTCTGGGTCTGGTATTGAGATCTAAGACTAAATCCGTCATCAGTTCGTAATTACCTGGTCCTGAGCTCCCACACGACTCCAACATCAGAGGCAACCTCTTGGAAAACGCGCCGGGGCCTGTCTTCTGAGAGGCTACCCCACCTGCTCCCAGTGGAGCATCCACTCGTAGGCCCACGTGGCAGCCAACAAGGACAGCTGCCTGGCAGCCCAGAGAGGTCCAGGGTTGCAGGGAAGGGGGTTCCCAAGTTAGCCCGGCCCTAAAGAAGGTGGGTCACCGTGGCTCAGTGGCGCTGGGACCCAAGTAGGCTCGCAAGAGCCCGATGCGATGCGTGAAGCCATCACTTACCGTGAGAAATAAGATCAGCTATTTCTATCAGCCCAACCAACGCAACAGGCAGGGGCAGGGAATGGGGTGGGGGGGCGGGGCTTCCTTTTGTGGGTGTGGCTCAGAACAAGTGTGGTGGGAAGTACGACTCCAGTGTGAGTGGCAGGGGTCTCTGCTTGCGTTCAGTCAGAGTGGATATTCAGCAGAATACCCTCCGTGACCCCACAGGTTATTAATGGCTGGAGCTTATTCTGACTGAGCAGCACCTCTGCCATATAAGTTAAATATTTTAAGCATTACCCTTAATAATAGGTGCGTGTAACACCTGCCAGAAGAGTCAGAGTTTCTGGGAGCCTGACAGGTTGTCTCTCCCCCGGACTGACTATAAGCCCCTCATTAGACTTCACAAGGTTAATTTAGCATCTAGCACATAGTAGGTGCTCAATGGCACATAATAGGACTGACTGACTGACTATAAGCCCCTCATTAGACTTCACAAGGTTCTACTCCTTGGTTAATTTAGCATCTAGCACGTAGTAGGTGCTCAATGGCACATAACAGGTGGTTGTGATGTTGAGCTCAAACAACTGACAGTGCCCGGCTGGGCTCTGCCACGTTTGCCCCTGGGTTTCCCTTTTCTGGGCCTCCATGGTTGACCACTCCCCTAGTTGTGACGTTCTTTCTTCGCATACACCAGGCTATCCTGGGAGGTACCCTGTCTTTCGGGTGACCTTGCTGACTCAACAACCAATATCTGACTGAACACCAACTACATGCCAGGCTTGGGGGATATGCCAGTGAGCAAAATAGTTATGGTTCCTGCTCTCCTGGAGTCAGGTCTGAAAAATGAGTCAGGCATTAAACATGTAAGATGAATAGTGTGGACAGAGAAGGACCAGGGTTGTGGGAGCACATGGCAGAGGAATGAGGCAGCCTCTTGGAGGAAGTGATGTTACAGTGAGATTTGAAGAGTTCACTGAGTAAAGGGAAAAGGGGCAGGAGAGGTAAGAAGAAGGGTAATTCAGGCAGAGCAAACAGCATTTACAAAGACTCAGGTATGGGCAAGAGTGAGTGGTGTCAGACCAGCAGGAGAGGAGCTGAAGAGGTGGGCTGTCGGCACGTCGAGGTCTCGGGATGTGGTGGCCGGATGAACGCACCTTGCAAACCTCCAGCTCCATGGAGTGTAATTGGCCGAGAGCTCCAGCTGCCACGCTCTAAAATCCATTCACACCGAAGCGTGGCTTCCCTGGCTTCTCCCAGGCAGTGCCTGGGCACCTTGGGGTACAGCGCAGGGCAGGCTCATTCCCGGGAGGCACGGGACTCCTGCGATGCCAGCTTTGGCTCAAGGACTCAGTGGCTTTGCTGACCCTTCCTTAGACCGCACAGTAGTCCGGGACACTTCTACCTTCCCTTCTCGCCTCTCTCCTTCACTGGGGGTCAGACTCGCATCACAGTCTGACAGCTCTCCCAGTCTCTCAGGTTCCTCTCACTGACATTTCCCCAAAGAAAATCCTTACATGTTTAATATTAACTTTGTGTGTGCTTCTGGGAAGATCTGGACGAACACATGAGGCTTTATCCTCCTGATAATGGCCAGTGGTGGAGGGTTTTAAATGAGTGACACGATCAGAGTATATCTGGAAAAGAACAATGTGGCTGCAGGGTGAAGAATTTGGTCAGAGGGGATCGGGAGAAGGGCCAGGAAGGTGATTAGGAGGCTGTTACAGTGGCCCAGGTGAGATAGCTTAGACTAGGGGGCGGCAGTGGGGATTCAAAAATGTGATTGATGGGCTTCCCTGGTGGCGCAGTGGTTGAGGGTCCGCCTGCCGATGCAGGGAACACGGGTTCGTGCCCCGGTCTGGGAAGATCCCACATGCTGCGGAGCGGCTGGGCCCGTGAGCCACGGCTGCTGAGCCTGCGCGTCCGGAGCCTCTGCTCCGCAACGGGAGGGGCCACAACAGTGAGAGGCCCGCGTACCGCAAAAAAAAAAAAAAAAATGTGATTGATGATGGAAAACAGGAAGAAGGAGAAGTGGCACTGGGTGATGGATTGAATGTGAAGTGTGAGGGAGGAGTTGAGGATGACTCTAGGATCCTGGCTCATTCTACAAGCGGGTGGAAGCTAGTCGTCGGGTGTTGTCCAGCTCTGCTTAGGGAAAATGCAGCATCTGGCCAACAGAAAGGTGAGCTCTATTACGGGTCAGGACAGCTCACTGGCCTTCCCACTACCTGGGTGAAACACCTCTTGGGAACATCCAACATGGTTTGTTTGAGTTCATGCTCACTTAACAGCCTTCGGATGGTTAATTAGACACACGGGCATTCAGATGCCAGGCAGATCCCTCTGGAAAGGAATAGTGCCAACTAAAAATGGCTAAATGAATTGGCATTCCAGTTTACCCAACAATGTCCTGGATGCCTGACGTTCCTGAGCCAACCTCTCCAAGCTGCTCAGCTCTGTGATACTGGTGAGGATGGAGACTGGACCCTGGATCAGAGAAACTCCACTCTGTTCTCAGAGGCCCTGGTGTAGACAGCCAGCTGGCCTAGTAGGATGTGGAGGGATGAATAATGGCTGCTAAAGATGTCCATATCCGAATCCCCCGAATATGTGACTGTGTCACCTGACGTAGTAAAAAGAACTTTGAAGATGTGATGACATTAGGACTGTGTGCTGGGGAGATCATCCTGGATTATGATCTGAGTGGGACCAATGTAATCACAAGGGTCCTTAAAAGAGGGACAAGGAGAAGCAGAGAGCAGTAGATGTGACAACAAAAACAAGAGATTGGAGTGATGCAGGGAAGGGGCCGATTTCCAGGTGTGGGCAATCTCCAGAAGCTGGAAAAGAAAAAGAGACAGTGTCTCTTGTAGAGCCTTCAGAAGAATTACTGGACTGCTGACAACTTGATTTTATCCCAGTGATATTGATTTTAAAATTCTGACCTCAGAAATATAAGATAATAAATTCATGTTGTTTTAAGCCACGAAGTTAGTGGTCAGTTGTTACAGCGGGAATAGGAAACCAACACACAAAACGAGTGCACCACCTCACCTTTTCAAGAGGCAATAAATAGCAGATTTATACTATGTTGTACACCTAAAACTAATACAATATTGTAAATTAACTATACTTCAATTTTTGAAAATAGAAGATTTAAAATAAATGAATGAAATAATATATAATAATATAGTAATAATTATATCTATAATAATATGATTATATATATATATAAAATGCCTATTTTCAGGTCATAGTGACTAAAATAAAGGGCCATGTAGAGTGGATATGTGTCATATTTGTGACTGCTTAACATCTTTTGAATAAATAACTTTCCTATTGTCAGACTTTTAGGCCAGAACTACATTTCCCAGGATCGCTTGCAGCTAGAACACAAGCATGTGACCCAGACTCCACCAATCAGATGCACCGTTGTGAGAAGGCACCTGGAGGAATTGTTTCCTAGGGGCCTCAGGGGAGCAGTCGGTTTGAGATCTCAGGGCAGCAGGGGCAGAGGTGGTGGTGTCCTAGCTCAGTAGCTAAAGTGCCAATGGCACCTTCACTCCAGCAGTAGTGGGAAAGTGATTTGGGTATTGTTCCAGGCTGTAGAGCCTCCAGGTATGACCTTCTGGCCGTCCTAGAAATTCTGTAAGCCACACAATTATCCTTCAATAAATCAGTTTACTAGTTAATCTTACGGTGTGGATTTTTTTGTTTGCAGCTAAGGACTCTGAATGATGCATCACTTCATGGCATTGTGGTAAGTAACCAGTCAATTTTAGCAGCTGGAAGGTGAAGCATTTGCAGTTTGCTCTTCCAGCCAGGCAGAATGGTTCATAGGATCAGGAGATGCAGGCCAAAGTGCACATTAGTTCCCAGTTACAGCTGCAGAGCGTCAGGGCCACCGCAGAACAGCTGGTCCTCTTTAAGCCTTGAGCGGCCATGGAGAGAGACCAGGGTTCACATAGTGAGTGAGGAAAGCTCCAAATGGGTTTTCCTGAGCTGCAGAAGGGCCCATCTGGAGGAGGCGAGGGATTACTAAAATAGTTTCCTCAGACACAGGTGAGGGAGCTGCTAGAAACATCTTTCAGAGTCAGTTTCCCCCAGGGGCGGGTAGCCAGTCCCCATTTCCGGTTTGGGGAGAAATGCCTGAAGTGTTCCTGACCTTCCTGGGACCGAGAGCTCTCAGGGATGAGGCAGCCAGATGTGAGCTGAGCCTTGACACCCATCCCGCTTCCAGGAGCTCATGCTCATCCTGGAACACTGTCAAGGAGATGACAGATGTGCCTTCTTCTTGGGGTCAGCTTCAGATGAAGTCATCCTTTCCCTCTGGACTCTGTCAGGATTAGTGCTTGGTATTTCTGAGTCACTTCACAGTTTATAAGCACTTTGGGAACCCGAGGTACTGAGTGTCTCTGTGCATGAAATTTTATACTGTGCCTTTACTCCTAAGGATGCTCTGGAAACCCTGAACCAAGAACGATGACCCCCAAATTAAATGTTATATAGATAGAGACTTTTGAGAATTTAAGAAGCATGAGAGAAGGGGAAACTGTGAATGGACATTCAAGAAGGCATAGGAATTTTAGCTACTAGGAAATCAAATCCATGTCTCTAGATGATCTCACATCCTCCAGGAGACACTGTTTGTGTTTTCTTGGATCCTACAAGAGGCAAGTAGAGTGGTTTTATATATGGTTTCATTTGAAGAATGCTAATCCCAGGAAAATATTTTTTCCTTAAAAAATACTGTTGAAGAGAGGTTTCCTGATTACCATTGCCTGATCTACCCTTAGACATTTTTATTCCTTTGATTTAAGGCTAAAACATCCTAATCCAAAGTCTCAAGAGGGTAAATGTTAAGACCTTCCCAATAATAACTAATAATAGTAATCAATATAAGGATTTGATCAGATCCTTTCCAACATCCCTTCAGCAGAACAGTTTCCCAAGAAATAAATTTCAAGTTTTGATTGGGGGTGGGGGTAGGTTAGGACATTAATTGATGAACTAATTACATTAGGGAAAAACTGTTCATTCCCAAGGAGCCCTTTCTTGAGGAAAGCTGGAAAGATGTCTTGGACGCATCCTCCCTTCCTTTATGGTACGTGTGCTTTATTCATTACCCTAGGACGTTTAGCCCCAGATAGGGTTTGCTCTGGGCCTGACCCTAGTTAAAAGTTCAAGTAGAATTCTGATAGTAACTAAGATTCCTACCCAGTGCAATACAAGAATCAGTGATCCGTGTTAATTGCGCTTTGCTGATATGGCTGCAATAAATCGAAATCATTGCGGATGTGGACACAATGAGCTGTATGTGAACAGTAATGTCTGTTTAATGCCTCTTTTTCCCAAGTGCATGTTCATTTAAAGCAGAGTCTTTAAAGAAGACTCTAGCTCCAGGTTCAACCAACCACTTGGTACATGTGAACACAGGAGACCAAGGGCCACCCTTCCCAATCAAGGGATCCCTGAATAATGTCCCTTTGTCCCCCAGCCACCCAATTCACCCATGGAGGAGGATCCCTGCCCCCTTTCCATGTCTGCAGAAAGTGCATTGCTTTTCTTTTTTTAATTAATTAATTTAGTTATTTTTGGCTGCGTTGGGTCTTCGTTGCTGCGTGCGGGCTTTCTCTAGTTGTGGCGAGCAGGGGCTACTCTTCGCTGCGGAGCATGGGCTTTAGGTCCACAGGCTTCAGTAGTTGTGGCACGCAGCCTCAGTAGTTGTGGCACATGGGCTTAGTTGCTCCATGGCATGTGGGATCTTCCCGGACCAGGGCTCGAACCCGTGTCCCCTGCATTGGCAGGCGGATTCTTTAACCACTGCGCCACCAGGGAAGTCCCTGCATTGCTCTTCTGTTATGGGCATTCTTGGCTAGACTTTGTACCACGCAAGAAAATCTAAACATTGTTCCTCTCCTGCTCACTCAAGACAGTCTCTTTCTCCAGAGCTGGATCTCAGAGCTGGGCAGTCCCTGTGCTCTCACCGTGTGTCCAGGTGAGATGCATTTGGCAGATAGGACTCACTTAACACACCCATCTACCCACCACGATGCCAGATCCTCCGAGACAGCCCTTCCTGATACTCTTAGCCCCCAGCTTGATAATCAGAACCCGAATAATGTGTCAGCTTCACACGGATCACCTGCTTTGCAGGATCTCGACTCCTGAAGTTAGGAAGTCCCTGGAGGGTCACCACTCAGCTTTCCCCAATGCTGGTGCCAGTTTAACTCCAAGATGGTCTAACACATGTTGTTGTTTGTTTCTGCTCTGAGGTGACCCCTGCCCTTCCTGTACCCCAGGAAGCAGGATGTAGTCACTCTTCAATAATCTATAAAATACCAAGAATCACCTACTCAACATTCTGAAAATGATAGCAAACATTTTTAAGTATTACAGCAGGAGGACGTGGTAACGTGTATCCTGCTTTGGAACTAACAAAACATCCCCTTTAGCCCTTTGCTTCCTTTCCCTCCCTGAAGGAATTTGCTGTTGTTTGTAAACATAATATACTCTTAACACTGGCTCTGTTTAACCACTTTTTCAAACTTAGCCTTTCTGCTTATTCTTAGTAAGTCAGTTTTGATTTTTTTTTTGAACCAACTCTATTGAGGTATAATTTACATGTAATAAAATGCACCTGTTCTAAGTGTACAGTTGAATGAGATACAACAAACTCATTGTGTAACCACCACCATACTCAAGATATAGAATATTTTCCATCACCACCAAACGTTTCCTCATGCCCTTTCACAGTCAACCCCCCTCCCCACCCCCAGTTCCAGGCAACTAGTGATCTGCTTTCTGTCACTATAGATTAGTTTTAAAGAGCTTTGATTTTAATGAGAATATATTGTGGTCAGTAAAGTAGCATTCTGCATGATTCTGCTCAAAACCCTTCAAGGGTACAACATGAGACAATTTTAACGTTGAAAAAAATTGCAATTTGTGTGTTATCTGAGCCACATAACATCTACCCCTCTGTTGACTTCCTTCCTTTCTTTAGTGTGGCAAAGTGCTTTCAAAGATGGCGTCAACACTTCCATCCTCCCTGGAACCTCATGCCACTCCTCCCAACAAGTGGTGGAAGATATCTCTCCTCCCCTTGAACCGAGCCTGTCTTTGTGACTTGATTTGACCAAAAGAACGTGGAGGAAGGGATGCTCTGCCAGGCCCAGGCCTTATGAGACCTGATAGTGTCTGCTTTTGGCCTCTTGGGATTTGGCCACCACGGATAAGCTCAGGCCAGAGAGCTGAATGACAAGAGCCTGCCTGGGGAGGGAGAGGCCCGGTCAGCTCCCTGCTCTTCCAGCCCCAGCCAAGGAGCCAGACATGGGAGTGAAGCCATCCTGGATGTTCCAGCTCCGGCCGAGCTCTCAGCTAAATGCAGCCACGTGAGTGACCTCAGCCAACTCCATACAGAGCAGAAGAACTAACCTCCCGGCCGAGGCCAGCCAACCCACAGAATCATGAAAAATAATAAATTTGTATTGTTTTAAGCCACTAAGTATTAGGGTAGTTTGCTGTACAGAAGCAGATATCTAATGCAGTCAGGAACAGTGATGGATGGTAATGCCCTCCTAGAAACACTTGAAACAACACTTCAGAAAGGAAAGGACACACAGCCTCCACAATACCCTGAAGCCCTGTCTGCTCCTCTGTGAATTTTCAGATGTTTGTTAAACTCACTCCTACTAGAGGAAGCAGAACCCAGGGTGCAGTCCCCGGCCACGAGGGGCCTCGTCAGGGGCTCTCGAGAACTCAGTGTGAGGGTTGGTTCAGGGAAGAAAGGGGCCCCAGACCCTCGTAGTTCCCTTTCTCCCTGTGGCCTTTCAAAGGGAGGGTCTCACACAGAAAGGAGTCATAGCTGAAGAATCTGAGTCTCTAAGGAGACCTAGGGCCCTATAGGAGGTTAGGAGCTTCTGAGAGCCGAGTTTCCTTAGGAAGACCCAGATGAGAAATAATGCAGGAGTTCCCATGTTCAAGGCGTGATCCGTAGCATGTAACAGTTACTCACAAAGGTGTTTGTTAAATCAATCAATTTCTGCCTGAGTTATCTGGACGTTTCATTAGGTTCAGGGAATCCAAGACCGGTGCTAAGGTATCCCCCAGGCATGGACAATCCACTTGGACAGTTCCTGGGGCATCATACACACTCTCCAGACCAGAGAGAGCCACAGGAAATTGAATCTGGAGCTGAATTGTTGGCCTGTTGTAGACTTGACCTTCACCTACCATTGAACCACATGGTGGGGTGAGCTTGGGTCATCAGCATAAGCCCATCACTTGCATTTCTTTCCTGAAGACCCCCTCATCTTCAAATCTCCAGGTCATGCAAAAAAGATCTCCTCTAGCAGTTACTCATTTGAATTGGGGAGGACTCCTAATGGGATGTATGTAAATTGTTGCTGTAAATGTTTGAATAACCAGGTGGTAAAAGCAAGGGGACCAGCATTTCCTGATAAATATGGGCGGTCAGCTGCCAGCAGAGGCTGTTTTGAATTGGATACGGTAAGCAGTGAGAACAAAATGGCTTTGCCTCTATTTCACCCGGAGTATCCACTGGTTGACAAGCCCCTGAGAAGAAGGAAGACAGGGGACAAGAGGAGTGTCCTGTATTGGGGCCAGAAGATGCTTCTGGCCCTCATCTTAATCTTTCAGTGTTTACAATGGCCCCGGCCCATTTTCTGGGTCTTCGTGTTCCCTGTGCATGCATTTGAGGTGGGTTTCCGTAGAGTCACCTCTCAGAAAACAGAGGAAGGGGAAAGAGGTGGAAACGTGGTACCACGGGAGTCTTTCTGCAAGAAGGGCCATGAGCGAGTGGCAAAGGCAAGGGAGGCCAGGGCACAGGCCAGCAGTCGATGTGGAGCAGTGCAAAGGGGGTGTCGAAAAGAGTTATCACTTTCTAAATTGGCTTGTGCCTTTTTGCACAAATCAAAAGGCCGTGTCCCTCTGCTTATGCAAGATCTCTCCGTGTATGCAAGCTGTTTTGAAATGCTTTAAGTGCTGCATGAACCACAGGTGGAATGACTGCTGTTATTAGCTCTGTCTGGAAGATGGCCACACCCTCTGGCATCTGACTGAGTAGGAAAAAGGCCCCAGGGTATCCTGTGCTGGGGACACCAGGTGACCGTACAGAGTCCACACCAGCCGGGAGATCCCAACAGGTGCAGGGCTGATGGGAAATGAGCAAGCTTGGACGGTTTTCCTGCGTAGATGGAGCGTCCGGCTGAGTCACTCTTCCCTCTGCCTGGGGGAGTGAAGTCACAAGTTCTTTGCTCTGTCTTGCCAGCCCTTCTCTTCCCTCCCCGTAGCACTCTTGCCTTCTCTAGGACAGCAAACTAAACATAACTGGAATCCAGAACACACTTTAACGGACTTTTCCTCATATACTTAATATCTAAGAAAAAGCGTCACATGGCAAACAGACACCTCCCAAAACAAGAGCCAACCACTTGGCAAAACCAAGCTATTATCAAGGATTTTTAGAAGAAAACAAGAGGTGAAGTATAATGTAGGGTCAAAGACAAGTCCAGAGCAATCCTACCCTTAATACTTTTATAGGCTGAAAAATGAGATTGATATTCTTTTTTTTTTTTTTTTTTTGCAGTACGCGGGCCTCTCCCGTTGCGGAGCACAGGCTCTGGACGCGCAGGCTCAGCGGCCATGGCTCACGGGCCTAGCCGCTCCGCGGCATGTGGGATCTTCCCGGACCGGGGCACGAACCCGCATCCCCTGCATCGGCAGGCGGACTCTCAACCACTGCGCCACCAGGGAAGCCGGGACAGCATTTTAATCTCCGTGACATGTAGGAATACAGCCTCACTGGCTGGGGATGTTCCTCAGGCCATTATAAAGGTGAAGTTTACCTTTGGACTCTTTTAGTCACAAGTTACAGAAACCTGTTTAAAATGGCTCAAGTAAAAAGGGGACATTTGTATCAGGATATACTGGTGTCTCAGGGAACCCAAGGGCAAGAAGGGCAAGTAGTCTTGCGAGGGCCTGGAACCAGAACAAACACATGTTCCAAACAGACATCCCATTTCTGAATCTGCCAGCAGAGAATGTTGGAATCTTCTACGACCCAGCTGGGTCTGACCCACTCGGTGAAATGGTGTAGTCCAGTCCAAGAGGGGACAGGGAGACAGACTTGACAGCCAGAAAAAATACCCTATTATATACAAAAATTAAATGTGTGATAAAGCATAACAAATGGGAAAGATTAGTCAACAAATGGTGCCAATAGCATTTAGAAGTTCATTTTACTTAATACACCAAAATAAACTCCAAACTAATTTTAAAATAATTTTAAAAATTTTAAAATAGTTTTTAAAAGTATACCATAAAACCTAAAATAAAATATCACTTAATGTTAATTGAGACTCTAATGAAAAAAGGGAACAGGTTCTAAGCCCAGAAAGCACAGAGAAAAATAACAAAGAAATGTTGACATCTATTGACTGCTTAATTATGGTCAGTCTCTATTTTTAAGCACTTTGTCCACATAATCTGATCTATCTTTCAACCTTATGAAAATGGTATTATTATTCTCATTTTTAAAGATGAGTGAACTATGGCAGAGAGATATTAAGTAACTTGTCCAAGATCACACAGTTCGTGGCAGAGCCGTTTTACCCGGAACTGTCTATCCTGAAAGCCAAGGCTCTAATCCTCCATATCGTAAGGTCTCCTTCATATACATTTAAATGGGTTTAAAAGGGCCAAGTTCATTCGTTCAACATGTATTTATTGAGCTCCCACTACGGGATGGACACTGCTCTAGGCCCTGGGCATACAGCAATGAATCGGGCAGGCAAGCTGCCTGACCTCAGGGAGCTTATGTTCTAGACTCTAGAATCTAGAGAAGGTACATACTATTTTTTAAAAAAATGAATAAATAAACCAGAGAGTTTCCGACTTCGGCAAGTACTGTAAAGAAGAAAATCTAGGGCTCTGTGATGAATAGTGACTTAGGTAGATTGGGTGCTTGGGGAGAGCTAGGGGACGGAGCCTGGCTGGTGGAGGAGACACAAGGCATCGGGGAACAAGAAGAAGCCAGGAGGACTCAGATTCCGGGCTAGGGTGGATTGGAGTGCCATTTACTAAGATGGGGAAGAAAAGCAAAGGTACAGCAGGTTTAGGGAGCAATACTGAGGGTCCCATCTCAAGATGTGTTAAATCTGAATGGCCCATTAGGCACCCAAGCTTGCCGTACAACTTCTAATACGTGCATAGCAAATATCACAAAGCATTCGTATTGGGTACCTTGACGAGAAAAACACACTGAACTTGCAGCAGATGTGTGGGCAAAGGATGGGAAAAGACAATTTAGAAAAGGGAAAATAGAATCAATAAACAAACCTGGGAAAATATTCAGTCTCACTAGTAATCCAAGAAATGAAACTTGAAACATGAATGAGGTAGTATATTTTTAAGTACTAAATTAGAAAAAAATTTAAAAACAACACCCAGTGGAGCCAGGGTGAAATTGGTACTCTTCAGACACTGATGATGACATTGTAAAGTGGCACAAATATTTCGGAAAGTAATTTGCCCAGGGTCATAAAAATTCTATAACCTTGGACCCAGTTTTTTCACTTTGGGGATTCTCCCTTTAGGAAAAGATACTGTGTGTCCATGGTGTTTAGCACAGAATTATTAAGAGTGAAAATTCAAAAACAGAAACAAAGCAGCAGGGAAATGGTTACATAAATTATGGTAAATCTACTCCACTAGAGCCCCGTGGCTGCTGGTTTACCTCCAGTAATGAGTGAGGAAAGTTCTTCCTGGTGGCTAAGATGATCCAGTAGAAACAGCAGGCTGGGAGGCCACAGCCTGCCTCAGGTGTCCCGAGAGGCCCAGGCCTGGCTGGAGGGACACTTCAGGCCTGGTCCCCACAGCCGGGGCACCTGGGAGGATGGAGCCACTGCAGCTCCTGGGACTGGTGGGACTGGCTGGAGTCTCTGAGATGCCACAAGGTGAGAAGGAAGGAACCCACATCCTGCAAGGCGTGTGCCCCATTTCTACCTCAGGTTACAGAACTTCTGACAACACCTGTGTGGCTGCAGAGGCCTTTCCCCGAGATGCAGAGAGAGCCAGATGACCCCTGCTGCGCGGCACGGGGCCCCGGGCCCCGCCGTTTGCCTCTCTCGGTGCTGTGTCTCTGACCACCCTCCGCTTTGCATGGGCTTTGTCGGGAAACACCTGAAATCACAAGTGAAGGGGCTCAAGGTCCTCGCCCTTCAGCTGCTCGGCAAGCTGTTTAAATGTGAGCCATTGGTTCCTAGGCAATTTCCTTTGTGACCACTAAAGCCGGCGTGGCATGCATTCTCCGGTCTCAGCGGGCAGTCTCCTCTCTTGGGGAGGGGATCTCCTAGGCGTCACATGACCCCCAGTTTTTCCATGCGTGTGAGGAGGAGGGAACCCAGGCCCTGTCTCCAGGAGAGCCTTTGTTAGCCCAGCCCCTGACCCCTCCGAGCAGCTTAGGCCAAGGGCACTTCAAAAGTGACCCGAGGAGGTACAATGGGCCAGAGAATGTGGCCAAGGGCAGGGAGGAGTGTCAGGAAAGCCCCAGCACAGCACAGTGAATCAGGAATCCGGGATCACCTCTCACTCCTTCCCATGATCCCTTGGAGAGACTCCTGTGTCCAAGTCAGACAGCACTCGGGAGCCTCCCTGCCCCCCGGACTGGACCCAGCTTGCGTCTCAGGGGTGGCAGCACCTCTGCCACCAGCCTGCGGGTGGAGCTGTGCCAGGAGGCCACAGCGGCAATGCAGTGGAGCAGCCCCGGCTGAGAGCACAAGAACCGGGCACTGCACGCTCGCCACATCCCCTGCTAACCCTCTCGGTCACCAACATTTTCTGGAATCAGCTGTGCCCACCTGTCTCGAGGTTCCATCTCCCAGGAAAGCAATAGACCTCCTAGACACGCAGCTCTGTGGCCACACGCCTCACCCTTATGCAGGGCCTGATGCAGACACCCAGAGCTTGCCTTAAATATGTGCTAACAATTTCCCTGATATGAACTTTGAATACTTGGTGTATTGCCCTTCTCAGCCCCCACCTCGCTCAAACACCCAGCACGGGGCAGGCTGCAGAGATCTCTTCAGAGGTGCCGCTCGTTGCTTTTCACTCACCCCTCCCACCTCCAGGCCCATCACTGCTGAACGGATCCAGCTGAGCTCATAATTTAGCTCCAGGGCCCTGCCCCTGGCTACAGCAGTTTGGACCAAATGGGGTATCTGAATGTCAGCCAGCAAGCTGTGGCTGCAGCTCTAGCCCGAGAAGGGCTGGTCAGATTTCTCTCTGGATTCATCCAGCATCAGGACACTGAGGGCTCTGGCAGAGAGTCCAGAGCTCCAGGAAGATGGGAGGCTGACAGAGGAAGAGTGCAAAAGGAACAAAAGTGCCTCTATAAGAAGCTGAAGGAGGGGACTTCCCTGGTGGCGCAGTGGTTAAGAATCCGCCTGCCAATGCAGGGGACACAGGTTCGAGCCCTGGTCCGGGAAGATGCCACATGCCAGGGAGCAACTAAGCCCGTGCGCCACAACTACTGAGCCTGCGCGCCTAAAGCCCACAACAAGAGAAGCCACCGCAATGAGAAGCCTGCGCACCACAACGAAGAGTAGCCCTCGCTCGCCGCAAATAGAGAAAGCCCGTGCGCAGCAAGAAAGACCCAACGCGGCCAAGAAATAAATAAATTTGTTTATTTATTTATTAAAAAAAAAAAAAGCTGAAGGAAGCATCTAGTTCCCCACCAGCAGTGGTCAGCCGGCAGGAAGAGAGGTCTTCCTTACAAACCCTTTGGAGTGACTGCTGTCCTAAATCTTTATGACTCTGAGCTGTGTTCCAATGCTCCCAACAAGGGGAATCCGAAACTAGAGACCCCATCACCCAGAAACATGCAACTGATCCATCTGGGGCTCACAGGGCACAGGTACCAGGAGCATCCCCTCTGGGCGGGTCTGACTGACTTCCTCAGACACCAGAAGGAGGAAGCCGGTGCTTCCTGTTGTCTCACTTTTGTTCTCGCTCAGCGCTGACTGTCCACTGGGCTTTCAAGGCTGAAGGCCCCACGACCATCCTGATACCCTCGCTAAAGCCACAGCTGTGTCCTCGGCCTCCCTTTCGACAAGCCACATAATCTGTATGGCTTGGGTAGTTTTACCCAGGGTTGCCTGGATTCCATGCTGCACCAGAATCGCTAGAGGAGAAAGGCTGCTTAGTAATCATATATTCACCTCCAGGTCTCACCCCAGACATAGTGAATCAGAACCTCCAGACCTGGAGTCCTGAATCTGTATCTTATAAGGCTCCCAGAGGATGCTGGTGCATAGCCCGGGGTGGGGACCACGGAGCCAGGCCAGCTCCATCTACTCCGGAGGTGGAAACAGGCCGCGGGAGGGGAGGTGTCTTGCCTCGGCCGCTCAGCTTTCAGTGGTAGTGGTGGCTGGGTGCTTTCCTCTCTAAACAGGCTGCATTCCCAAATGAGATTCCATCTGTGTAGTCACCTGGGTCTCATTTCTCGGATGCTCTTTGGGAGCACAAGTGGGGGAGAGGAAATGGACAAGGTGACACTTATTTCACACTCAGGACCTGGGCCCCGGATCCACCTCATTTATCCACACCCCTGTGGAGATGTACACACATGTGTATTAATATGTAGCTTCTGGGC